GCCAAAATTAGGGCAAGCAGCATTATGGAGTTCAAATAAACCAATGAATGTTAAAAATTACAACAGAGTCCTCGACACGAATATTGCTGACCCCATTTCACAGCCGTGCTCACCGAAGCAGGGAGAAGTTAGGTGACCCAACCAGTAAGTGACAGAGCCTGGCCCCAAAGACCACAGCCTTAACCCTTGCACAGTATTGCCCCCTGACCTCGTCCCTGACCAGGACACCAGATGCCACTCACAGCCCCACCCACAGGCTTCCCAGGAAACGAAGACAGAAATCATTAGCAGAACAATTCTAAGTCCTTCCAAATTAGGTCACCATGCCCTGCAAAGCTGCCTGCCACCTTGGACGGTCCCTCTGCAGATGGATGCGTGCTTTTGGTGGTGGAGCTATTTGCAATTTCCAATATTTTAGCCAGTTCTTCCCTTCTAGACCACAACTTCTGCAAGGGAAGAATCTTGTCTTCAAAGTCATTAAGCCCCATAAAAGGGCTTCCCCGTGCGAGCCGGCCTGAAGCTGGGGAGACCTGCTCTGTGGTATAAGCTTGCTGGTGTATTTTATCTTTCAGTCATGTGCACATACTTCATAGAAATTTTAAGTTTTATTTATAAAAAATTACTATGTATCCTGTACATAGTGCAATATTTTTTATCTTTTGTCTTCAGTATTATCGAGGGAAATATTTACAAGTGTAATATCTGACAAAGAAATTTTCTTTTTATAAATTACTAATAATAGATATCTACAGTAGAAAAACTTGAAAAATTACAACAGATTTTTAAAAAAACCACATGGATTAGATTATTATAAGACAACATATTTCCTTCCATTCTTCCTTCTCTGTATATGTATTTTTGCCTGCTTTTTTTTTTTTAACGTAATTTGGACCATACTGTGTACGCAGCATGGTATTCTGCATGGTGGGCGCTGTCTGTTGCCTATCTAATAGCTTTCCGCACCTTTCCTGGATGGCAGTTGTTGCTGTTGTTCCCATGTGCCTTGCTCCTTCCTCATCACTTACTGGCTGTGCTGGGTGGGCAGACAGCCTGTCGTACAGTGTACAAGCACAAGGAACAGGCACATTCAAACCTGGTGGGGAAACGGGAACAGTCCTTCACGATTGGACTTCGTGCCTGGCCGCAGTAACAGAGGGAGTAGCCCTCTCCCTTGGGAAGAAGCTGAATGAGGTCTGTGTGTGGAACAGGGGGATGTACTTTATAAATAATGTTGGGTAGCTAATGGGGTGGACTGTGCAGACACCGCTGGCTGCCTCCCCAGTATCCATTTCTCCCTTCTCCTAACTAACAGAACCCCAGTGTCGAGTTGGCAGTCTTCCTAGTTTAACAACGAGCATTCCCAGCCTTCCTTGCAGTTAGGGGTAGCCATTTGACAAAGTTCGGCCAATGAAGTGGAAGTGTGACTTAGGGAGGGGGGTTTACAGGAATGCTTTTAAGGGGGAGAGCAGCTAACACTGGTGTGTGTCCCTTTTCCTTTAACCCTCTGCCTTCCTGAAATGGAGCCGTGAAGTTGGAAAGCACAACAGCCACTGCTAAGAATGAGCGGTAGACACAAGTGGCTGGCTCCTCCGCAGCCCTACTGGGCCCCAGAAACTGGCCCAGGCTGCCTCCCCCTGGGCTTTCTCTCGTAAATAATCAATAAATCCTGTTTGGTGAAGTTACCATAAGTCGGGTTTTAGTTAATTGCAGCTGGAAGCAGTCTTAACTGATAAAATAAACATCCTCTTATCAGTATAAACCCACCGTGCGTGGTGGCGAGCAGAATGCTTACTCAACTACAGCTCTAGTTTTGGCTCTGTAGGCTAGCTCCAATTTTTTCCTGCTGCTACACACACTTCAGTAATAAGCATTTTTATGCATAAACACCTGTTTGCATTTGCACGGCACTTTACAATCTGTAAAACCCTTTCCCCTCCGTTCTTTCATGAGGCCAGAGGAAAGTCGGTCAAGATGGTGGCTGAGCAGCCCAAGTATAGGCAATCGGCTCTCAGGTGAGGTCTTCTCCCTCCTGTGTTCTCCTATAACATCTGAGTTCTGCTCAAAAAGCAAAACAACCTCAGTAAAGATGGGCTACTGAGTACGAGCGAGAAACGTGACACAGTGACACATCCTGAACAGCTAGGGAGTGGGCTACCCAGGTTCTAAACCCTAACTCTAGTGGAGGGGACCCGGTGGAGTCAGGAAGCCTGTCCCTAACTTCAGGCACAATGAATGAATGAATGCAGGTGATTAAGGCATAAGCAAAGGTTTGTCAATAGTGCGTACTGCCCGGGACCTCTGAAAAACATGTGGGGACTGGACAAAAGCCTCAAGATGATGAGCCATATGTTCGTGGTGGGGGTAGAGGGAAGGACGGAAGGGACAGGCGCTAGAAAAGGTGGCAAAGACTAGGAGATCTTGAAAAGGTATTAGGAGAAAACTGGTTCTTAACGACATTCCAGGAAATCTGCTCCAGGGACCACCTGGAACCAAACAGCACCTCCTCTAACCTCTAGATTTCCTGAGTGCACTTTTTATTTCCCACGTGGTATGGTATATGCATTTGGCATCTGCACTCAATGATCTCATGTGTGTGTGTGCTGGGGCTGGGGGAGGCTGAAGGGCCAAGGGCAATGTCCATCCTCTTACTCCTTAGATGATGATGATAAAACCACCGCCCGCCGTCTCGCACTCTGAGCCAGCTTTGTGCGTCTCTGCATGTGATACTCGTCGTGTGGACGGGGTCCAATCACTCTGGCTGTGAAGCGAATCCCACGTTCTCACTGGCCAACCCCATAAAATCGGAGATGCAGTAAAAGGGACTCGTCTCCTAGTCAAGTGGGCTTTGCACTCTTTAAAACACATTTGTTCCCTACTTGTCTGACTCTGAACGTCTCCAGTTTTATAAACAGAACTCTTTCGTTACAGAACAAGGAGGACCCGACATCCAGATCACAAAGGTCATCGAATATCCTGGAGTGTGAAAACTATTAAGTTCTGTGCATGGTGCTGGGCGCTTTTGAAACAGGTATTATCATCACTGTTTTATAGAGGAGGAAACTGAGGCTCTGAGAGGTAAGGGAATTTAGTGCTCAGGATCAGAGAGGGGGGAAAAAAGTGTTCTAGATGCCTTAGACCGATTGGCTGTCATTCTGGGAGTGAGCAGCTCGCGGAGGGAACTGCTGGGCCTTTGCTGGTGAGCGGCCCCTCCTCCCACCGTGCACTCGCCTCTTCCCTAAGGAGCACTGGAGCTCTTCTTCGGGCCTGGTGGTTCTCTGAGACACATTCCTTTACTTTTGCTTATTCTCATAGCTGCAGGCCCAGGTTCTACACTCGGGTCCAAGGACGGGAGCCAGGCCTGGGGTCTCTTTGCATGGAGAAGAGTTTTCTGCCCTTGGCCCCTGCAGAGGAGGATTAGCAAGGCAAAGCCAAACTTGATTGAAAAATAACTTCCCTGCAGGCTGCTTTATGGCTTTGCGTCTCTTCCTTCCAGCTCGCTGAGTCTGGGCCCAAGGCCGGGGGACTCAGGGTGGTCCTTCCTTTTCCGAGGGGCCGGAAATTACCAAAGGAGCACCAGGGGGTGCTGAGCAGGCCAGCTGAAGTAGGGCAGCAACTAATTAATGTTTTTAAAAAGTTTAAAAACCAAAGCAGCCAACCATCAGGGTGAAGAGCAGGTGCTCTGGAGCCAGGCGGCCTGGCCCTGCCACCTTCTAGCTCTGCAAGGGTGGGCACGTTTCCTCCCCTCACTGTCCTCATCTGGAAAGTGGGGACAGCAACACTCCACAGCGCTCTGGGGTTGCCACGAGGATGAAATGAGAGCTGCTCTTTACAGAGAGTCTAGAACCTGACACGTGGCAGCGAATGGAGGTCACACAGCCCCAGACTTGCCCCTCAATGATCACCTTGACGTTCATGGGATCAGTCAAAACAGGTTCCTGCCACCACTTCTGAGCAGTACACAATTTGGCCAAGCCCAAAGACAGGTCTGGCTGATGCCCTTGGCTTCTGGGAAATTATCTATGTCATATCCGGTAAGAGTTCTGAGCGCATGGGATCTTAGTGTGTGGCTGGCCACAACCCGACAGTCTCAGAACGGGGGCTGGCCATGCCAGAAAGACCAACCAGGCGATTGAGGGTGGAGGTTTGGGGTCACACAGTATCGGGTGACCTGGAGACTGAGCTCAACCACATGGGCGGTCAGTCAGTCAGTCATGCCTCTGTAATGAAGCCCCGGTTAAAACTCGCGTGAGCTTCCCTAACTGGCAATAGTCTGCGAGTGTTGTCACACACAGATGCCAGCAGGGTAACACATCCTGAGTCCACAGGTGGGGACAAGGGAGCTTCGTGTCTGGAACCCTCCCCGTCTCTGCCCTACCTGTCTCTTGCTCTGGCTGCTATTAATCTGTGGCCTTTCCCTCTAATAAAGCGTAACTGTGAATATAACAGCTTTCAGTGAGTTCTCTGAGACCTTCTAATGGAATTATTGAACCTGGGGGTAGTTTTAGGAATCCCCCCGAACTTGCAGTTGGTGCCAGAAAAGAGGGTGGTCTCGTGTGGAAACTGTTCAATCAACCTTGGCAGTTTGGCCAACTCCAGCAATTTCCTTCACACAGGCCCTCCTGAGCGTCACACCCACTGTGACCCCCACCCACCCAAATCAGAATGGACAAGGGACAGAGGAAGGGAGCTTCTGCCTGCACCAAGTGGAGTGCTTTCCAGATACAAGCTCATGGATGCCTCGGTTTACACATCTGTAAAATGGGATGCACAGTGCTTACCTCTCCAGGTTGTGACCTGCTCAAGGTATGACAGTTAGGGAGCAGGAGCGCAGGAGTCAACTCCACAGCCTAAACACTGTGCACGGTCCGCATTACCTCCCGGGGGCTGAGGTCATCGTGGGGGTGAGACAGTTCCCCTTTAGGAAGGAGGTTTCATTCACACAGGAAATACCATCTTATATATTTTAATCATCACAATGACAAACATGGATCGAGCCTCACCTACGCGCAGGCAGCCAGTATGACTTGGAACGCTCGTCAGCACAGCTGCCCGGGCCCAGGCCTTGACTGACGGGTCCCCGATGCCAACGGGGGGAGCCTGGGAATCTGCATGCTGAGCATCCCACTGCCGCTGACTCTCAGCCAGGGGCGGACTCGAGAACTGCCGCCAAGACGGAAAGGACCCGGGGGCCCCTGCGGGCAGCACCGCCGTTGGGTGGGTCTCAAGTCTGGGCCTTCCTCCCCCATCTATGCAAAGGGGGTAGTGATTCCAGCTGTCCTTTCTCACTCAGCGCAGTTGTGAGGATGACGTGCTTGGGACAGGCCCAGCCCCAGGACTCAGGGGCCCAGGCAGCCCCGGAGACGAGCCGTGCACAGCACTCACTAGGCAGTAGGTGCGGCCAGCTCTGTCACAATGCTTGCCAGAAAACGCAAATCGGTTCCAGTGCAACAATTGATAGATTAGGGAAAAATTTAAGCATGATGTAAATTTGGCATTTGCTGATATACAATTTCATCCCTGAGAAACACTAGATGGGCACAGAAAGCCGCGCCCAGTGATGAGCTGAATGGAGCTGTGCAGACACACACCACACACACACACACACACACACACACACACACACACGTGCACACGCACCCCATATCTGTGCACACACACCTCAAACATCTACCAGCTGCCGTGCCTCACTGTGTGCGTGATGAGCCACACCCATCCACACCTAATGTTACAACCTACTGTGCACCCCCCAGCCCCCGCCATCTAGATGTTGAAGTCCTACCCCAAGGTACCACAGAATGTGACTGTATTTGGAGACAGGGCCTTTAAAGATGTGAATAAGTAAAAACAAGGCCTTTACGGTGTGCTCTAATCCAATCTGACTGGTGTCGTTACAAGGAGAGGACGTTTGGACACACAGAGAGACACCCGGGGTGTGTGCAATCAGAGGGACAGCTATGGGCAGCAGGAGAAATGCCTCCCCAGAAACCAACCCCACTGGCACCTTGATCTTGGGCTTCCGACCTGCAGCACTGGGAGAAAATATATTCTTGTGGTTTAAGCCCCTCAAGTCTGGTGCAGCAGCCCCCCTTATCTGCAGGTATGCTTTCCGTGGTTTCCGTTCCTAGCAGGCAACCATGGTCCAAAAATAGGTGAGTACGCACAAGAAGATTCTGAGAGAGAGAGAGAGAGATACTACATTTACATTGCTTTTATTACTGTGTGCTGTTATAACTGTTCTATTTGATTATCAGTTATTGTTGTTAATCTCTCCCTGTGCCTAATTTATAAATTAAACTTTATCAGAGGTATGCATGTGTAGGGAAAATAATAGTGTATACAGGGTTCGGTATTATCTGAGGTTTCGCGCATCCACTGGGGGTCTTGGAACGCATCTCCCACAGACGCTGGAGCTACCGTACGTCATTACAGCAGCCTGAGCAAACGAGGACGCAACTTTCCATCTGTTTTCAGGTCACCTCCTGCCACCACTTCACAGCCCTCAGCCTCCCTTCCCCGTGCCCACGTCCCCGAGCACGCTGCAGCTCTCCTCAAGGTAACAGCCGCGTCTACTGCAGAATGCACGTGATTCTTAACCACTTAACAGCTGTAAAACTGTGCCATTGTCTTGTTAGGTTCCCATCTTTCTTGTTAAATGTGTCCCTGATGAAACCCTCTTCTCCCTCATCCCCGTGTTTCGTGCGAATGCGGCGATGTCCAGGAGCACGTGTGTCGTGTTACAGCAGAACCAACAGTCTAAGCATTTCACCTAAGTTAACTCCTTCAATACTAATTCTTTTAACCCTACGAGGCAGACACTATTCTTATCCCCATTTTACACACAAGGAAACTGAGGCACAGAGAGGTTAAGTAAGGTGGCTACAGTCACACAGCTGGAAGCAGGCAGAACTGGACCCTGAGCCCAGGTTCTTACCCACCGGGATACATGGTGGTTACACGGGTGGATACGTGGGGAACAACGTCCCCGCCGGCTCCCCAATTAGGAAGGACTTCACAGCGTTCCCCACATCGTTCTAAACCCCATTCTAGTCACGGAAGAGCACGCACTGATCGGGCTTCATGAATGTTTAATGGGATGGAATTCTCCTTGTTTTGTCAGCGACAATGAATCTTGGCTGAGGAAAT